TGTGGGAATCCTTTGTCATGTATAAGCATTTATTTAAAAATAAAATATGTGTATATTTACAGAACATAAATGAGTGGAGCAATGACATATCCCTAATCAGAGGGAGGAGTCAGGAGTTTCTATCAGACAAAGGTAGCTGTAAACAAGCTGCTCTAGTGTGATGTCTCTTAATATAACCCGTTCAATTTTTATTTAGGGGGGAAACAAACAGATGTGAAACAGTTTTTAGAAACATTCCTTTTAAAACATTTATGCTTTACAAAATTAATTAGCAAACTAAAAGATTTGTACAATTTCAAAATAATATGGATAAATCCAAGAAATATTTACTTAATAGTACTTTTAGTAAAAATTCCAATTATAAAATACATTTTTTTAAGTACTTGTAGCAGCCAATTGGATTCCATGTTCCAATTCGGATTTTCAAATGCAAATATGAATTGGGCTGCCATGAGTTGTGGGAGACAATTGTAGAAAATATAGATAGGAGAATCATTTATGCAGATACAATGTAGATAAGAGATTCAGGTACTCAGTAAAACATGTCATTTTTTGGGAGGAGTTTTGATTAATAATCTATTATACTATATTTGTTTTAAATAGAATCATAGGCATTTGGTATATTTGGTGTAAGTAAAGATGTTCACACATTAGATGCTGATTGTTCAATACCTGCAATGGTGTCACTTTCAGGAGGATACAATATATAATGTTACATTCAGAAACTCTATTAACCACTTCAAGACCAGGTGTTTAGACCCCCTTCCTGGCCAGGCCATTTTTCAGTGTTCAGCGCTGCAGTCCTTTGACTGACGTTTATTCCGTCATGCAACGCTGTACTGAAATGAATTTTATACCATTTTTTGGGGACAGATAGGGCTTTATTTTGGTGGTATTTAATCACCACTGGGGTTTTTATTTTTTATTATAATTAGGAAAAATTACAGAAAATTTTGAAAAAAAAAAGTTTTTTTTTACATTATGTTAGGAAACATTTATTATTAACCAGTTTTTTGGTAAAATATAAAAGATCGGGTCACGTCGGGTAAATAGACACCAAACATGTCAAGCTTTAAAATTGCGCGCACCCGCGAAATTGCAGAAAACTACCATACCCAAAATTGGCCATAGGCGACGCTTTAAAAGCTTTTACCGCTCATCAGTTTAGTGTTATCAGTGATTGATGGCCCTAGACTTATTGCTCTCACTGCGACGTTCGCGGCGATATGTAACATGTGCGGCGCAATGGGCGCAATCGTCTTTTTTGCACGTATGCGCCCCCGACGCATGTTTGCATGCGTGTATGTATGGGTGGGGACTTAACATTTTTTTTATTTTTTTCCCACTAAACTGTATTGCTATCACATTTGGGGGCTAATAAAACCCCCTTATGTGATAGCAAAATATGTGACAGGTCCTCTTTATGGAGACATCAGGGGTCTCCAAGACCCCTAATGTCACCTAGGACCCCCCAAAAGAAGCTGATGAAGCA